TGGTAATCAAACCATATAAACTTCCTCTAACTTCGTTTTAGCTTAGCAAGTACTTTAGCTYCATGTTCAAGAGATAACAAGAAGGTGCTAACTGATTAACTTAAGAAATCAAACGGTCTTGAAAGTCAAATTTTTTATATAAAACACATTAAATTACTACCGAACTGGGACCATATATTACATGAGCTTCTATTAAACTTAACAAAATATATTTTCTTAGTTTCAATATTTAWATTCCAGAGTCCTCATGCCATATTTAGAACAACTTAAATTTCAATTTGCGAGTTCCAAGACCTTTATATATAGTGAAATTTATTTSCAAGAACCACTTGGTTTCTTTTCGTGTCGAAAAAATAAGTTCGAAAATTTTGTCTTTTAGATTTACTTAAAGCATTTGAAGTAATAATTAATTTTACCGAGTTCTTATAAGCTAAAATGAACTACCATACACGCGAAAACCGAGTAGCAGCCCACTAGGACACGGCCACAGATAGCGAAAAGTTTTGATCGGTACCCAACGAGTTGTGGTTAAAGGCTCAAAAATCGTTAAAAATATAATTAATTAGCATACTATTGTCAAAAAAACTTTGAAGTTCACTTGATTGATTCTATAATGCCATTATTGGCAGGCGGTCTGTCAACGTATTTACTAAAATTAACACTACTTAARTCAGAATAATTTATTAATTTTTTAAAGTTGCCATATTATAATGAATTGCGTAATTTCATGTTCAGTATTCGAATTTACAATACGCTGGCAACTGCGACGTTAAGTATTTATCACAAACTGACCTTCATATTTTACTCAAAAAGTAGCGCATATTTGTTATTTAAATTTTAATACGCTTTAAAAAATTAATGCGCTGTCTGTCAATAAAGTAAATATGCATAAAGTTGTATTTTTACTATGCAAAGCTATGTAATGAGATTGAAAGTGCCTGCAATGGTCACTCAGAGTGTTCTTTTTTTCGTACCCATGGCATATAATTTCAGAGCAGTAGCCAGATGCCGGCGATATGGAAAAGAAATCAACTTTTTCCGCACTTAACCCGCTTTCTTCGCCATATTTTTCTTCAGCTTTTATGCGACTTTATTATGTCTGCGCAATCATTGCATTGTTGTGTTTTTTTTTTTCGTGACCCTATTTCAAGCGTTGCGACAAATGCTTTAGCATTAACATTTACATTTCCAAAATAATTCGCTACACAGAAATTGAGATGAAAAYAAGAAAAGGTACAAAAATTTAAACCATAACTTTCTGTCGGCTGTAATGGGTGCAACAAAAAGAGCAAACAAAAATTATCGATTACCGGTTTAAGATGATTTACATTAATTTAATAAAATTGCTCAACTTTCTTTGGAGCATCAGTGAATGCAGACATTTCCCTTTGATTCAAATACATGTCCAAACACAGATTTTATATGTATTATGTATAAAATTACAAGACACGCCCACATGTTGAGGCACATAGCAGTCGAGCGACTCGTGTCACTGTACTATGCCATCCACAGCTGCTAAAGTTACTCGCATTCATTCGCATTCGCTACATTGTCTTCTTGTTTTTTTTTTCACTTTTTTTCAGCCATTTGTCGTTCCCAATTTACAGTTGAAGATTGTTTTATGCAAATTACTTTAAATTTGTGGAAAATGTATGCCGAAAGTTTTCATCCCTCCATTATGTCTACGCTTTGGGTGAGGGGATGTAAATGGCATGCGTTTTCTGTTATACATTTTTGTGCAGCACAATTTTACATWTGCTTTATTATTACAAATATACATCCCTATAATCATATAGATATGTACTGTGATTTTTTCTCAAACAAAATCCATAACTTATGCAAATTTTCGTTGTTTTTTTTTTATTACAGAACAATTTCATATTTTCGTCGGCGATTTGAGCTCAGAAATCGAAACTCAGCAATTACGTGAAGCTTTTACACCATTCGGTGAAATTTCGTAAGTATAAAAGTGTATTAAGTTTACTTTTTAAGGTGATTATATGCCTTATTTTATTAAATAATATGAGAATTTCTGTTAATTAATATTGAGAGTTTCTATTTGTCTCCACAATGTTGTTATTGTCCTCTTTTTCTTAAAATTTAGTTGGTTTCTATCTGTTGAAACTGTTAGMAGCAATCTTTGAATTTTCTCAAATATGTATGGTGAGCTCAATTAACTTATCTTTGAGATGAATTGTCAGCGTGTGACCTACGAATTAATTCGTTTTCGAAAACAGATTATTTTCAAATTTTCTTAGAGCATATGAAATGGCTACGCTCTCTTATGGCTCTTTTTTATAGTRGGGAAAGCATCCAAAGCCAGAGTGYGGAACTTTAATCCGCTAAACCYAATACTCAATACTCTTAACCGRAACAACCAGATAAAGTTTTGTTGTGGGAGAGACAAAACATTTAACGTCTCCCCTATAGCAGTCACTGGCTTAATTTAGCCATGATGGAAGTAGTCGGTTTGCGAACAACTTTCCACTTTTCAGAGAACTGTCACATAAATGCAGGCAAATATTTTTTCGTTAAACTACCACCTAGTCCAGTTGATAACTTTTCGCTTATATTCAGGAAAATGGAAAAACATGTGTTCAAATTGTTCTGTGACCTCCTTACACATTAAGCAATAAAAACTAGGTCACTTTGAAATTTGAATATAAGGCTATGGATCCATCGTTCATTTGTTGAGGTTTGGTACCGGTTTTGCCATATAAATATAGCTCTGATAGCTCATATAATCTCGCGAATTCGTCTGCCTGAATGTTTATGGGCGGCATACTAGCTAGTACTTCAGCTGCTYCGTTGGATATACAGGTTGCGTTCCAAAGTAAACAGGTTTAAGTGTCAGTATGTTTRTGTTATCGGTGCGAAAATTAGGTTCGAACAAAGAGCCTACATTAAGTTTTGTTTTAAAATTGGTAAAACTTTTACCGCAACGTTTCAATTGATGGAACAAGTTTATGGCACTGATTGCCTTTCCCGAAGCAGAGTGCACGAGTGGTTTCAATGTTTTCAAAGTGGTCGTGAGGACATAAATGACGATTAACATGTGGGCCAATCAAAATCTGTTATCACCGGAAATTCCATCGAAACTGTGCTTGAATTCATCAAAAATCAGGCGAAATGATCATTTAAGTTCTTGGATATTTAATTGTACATCTCCAAAACACCCATTTATCGTATTTTGACCAAGCGTTTGGGCTTAAGAAAAGTGCGTGTCTGGTTTGTTCTGCACAACTTGACTGACGACCAAAAATTTATCAGAATCCAGTCTCACCGCTCGACGCTTGTGACCGATTATCTGTCCAAAAATCACAATTCAACCATTAACCACCCGCATTCATCTGATATTGCACCGAGCGACTTCTTCCTTTTCGAAAAACTTTCCCATGAAAGGAAAGCGTTATGCCAAAAGCTTTCACCGGCATACTGGCGGCCAAACCGGCTAACGAGCAAAAAGCTCTATTGAAGCAGAAGGAGTCTGTTTTCAATAAAATAAATTGATTTTGCCGAAAAAACCATTTGTTATGTTTTTTTTTTAAGTTCTGTTTACTTTGGAACACTCCTTTTAGTTCGGAAAGCACGTTGTTATTCTTATTGTGTGAGTTTATGCACCGCATATATTATCTTATGACTCAATGGATGTTTGAGTGTGATAATGCCTGAGTCCATTGTG